TATAATGAACCAGTAGGCTACAGGAGTTAATAATCTGAAATTTTTATGGCTCACCATTTGGAATGTCCAGGTTTTGTTTTCAAAAAACCATATGTGTAGAACTATGACAGATTTGCTGTAGCTACCTGACCTCAGATGATACTAATGTCCAAGCCCTGTAGATTTCTCTTTAGAGAGCCATCCTGTTTCTAAATATATAATCTGCATGCTGAGGCTGTTAATGATCCAAATAATTCTTTAATACTTGTCTAGAAACTGAGTTATCTGAGGAGTCCATCTATTTTTTTTAAGTGTCAGCTTTTTAAGAATGTGTGTTGTACAAATAACAGAAATACAGAATATATAAGTATTTCAAAACTGAAACTTTTCCTAACTCTAAAAAGAAAATTTGTGCAATTGCTGAATTCCAACTTAATGCGGTGAGTCAGAATTCTGTACTCTAGGGAGAAAATGGCAGCTTCCAACTATGGGAGAAAGATCCTTAGCAGTGTTTTTTGTTTCTTTGCTTTTATGTGTGAAGATAGGACAAAACCTCATCTTCCATACTTCGTTTCTGCACAACATACCTATGTATCATTTTCTTGCATGAGTGAGTGAACAGAACTGCTTGTTTCAACAAAATATTTCCTTAAACTCTGTAATAATGGGTAATCTTGTATCTGCTTTTGCTGAAAGATTAATTCGTTTTAATGCAAGTGGTATTCTCTGTGATGAAGTTGGTGGATTTAAAACATTTCATTAAGTGCAATTTAAAGGAGAACAATCTTATTTAACAATCCTCTTGATTGGTTTTGTTAGAGAAGATAGAGAAAATGAATTTGTCTCTATCGTTATCTGCAGTACAGGCTTATGGTATTGTCCTGGCTTCAGTGGGGATAGATAATTTTCTTTATAGTGGCGAGTTTGATGCTGTGTTTTGGATTTAGGAGAAAACACACTAAGCAGTGCAGCACAGAACCAAGGGTATTCCAGCTTCTCACACTCTCATGCCAGCAAGGAGGCTGGAGCTGAGGGGGTGGGTATGAGGAGCTGGAAGGAAACAAAAACCAAATTGTGACCCAAACTGACCAAAGGTGTCCCATACCAAATGGCATCATATTGAACTATAAACAGGGGGAGTTGGCCAAGGAAGATTGCACCGCTTGGACACTGGCTAGTCATCAGTCAACAAGTGATGAAGAACTGCATTGTGCATTACTTGTTTTGTGTGTTATTCTTATCTGTTTAATTTTCCCTTTTATTTATGTCCTTTTAAATGGTTTTTATCTCAACCTTTCTACCTCTTTTTTTTTTTTTTTTTTTGTTCTTCGTTCTCTCCCTTGTTCCACTGTGCAAGAGTGAGCAAATGACTGTGTGATGCTTGGCTACCTGCTGGCTTACACCACAATAGATATTTATATGCGGCTACACATTTTGTTACTTTTGCCCTTCCTTGTGTTCAGCTGTGCTGAACCCAGCCAAAACCCTAGGTAAGTTGAGGTTACATAGTATTCACAAGGCCAAAAAAGTTCTCTTACTGTGATTCACAATAGCTAGTTGCAGTTGACTTTGTCCTGACAACAAGATGGATGCTGCTGTTTTCTGCCTTGTTGGTCTTTGAATTTCTGTCTCGTATGTTCTCGTTTACCAATCTGGGAAATGAAAAAGGGAAACAAGATTAAATTTATGTGCCTGTGTGGAATGTTACTTCACAACATTTGCTGAATAGTTGATAATTTAATTTTTTTTTTTTTTTTTTTTTTTTTTTTTTTTTTTTTTTTTAATTACATGAGCCTATGGAAAAGGAAGGAAGTAAGTTTTGACTTAAGTTACCTGCATTATCCTTCTCAGAATTGTAGTTGCAGTGTTGACATATGCCGAAGTTACAGGCAAAAACAAAAAGTAATACTTATTACCTAAGCATGTCCCTTAATATTCTCTAGGCTATCACAACATCTTTTGAACAGTGTTGACTGCAGAAAGATTTATTTTGAGCTTATGTTTAATAAATAAATGAATAAGCAAAGAAATTGAAACCCTGGCTTGAAAAAGCAGTGGATAGTAAATAATAGCCCCTCTTGACTTGTACTGACTGGAGAGTTAAAATATAAAGCATACATATCAATACCCTAGATGTGCTACTGAATGTGCTAACCATAGAGTACTATTCTACGATTGGTTGAGTTATCTCTGGTTCCTGAGGTTTATCAGTTTGTACTTAAGAGCCCTTGAAATCAAGACAGGCAGTTAGACCCTCGTTTCAGCAAAAATGTTTAGTCAGCCTTCCAATTTACTGCACACTAGGTAAAGCAGAAGCTTGAAGTTAAAAACTGAACATCATAACACCTTTTCCTTTCTCCATCCTTCCCGCGATCCACATTACTCCTTCATTCTTGACACCTCTTTCTCTTCCTCCTCCATGAGCAGTACAAGGGAGAACTTAACAGTTCTCTGTTGCTCCTTCCTCTTCTAAGCTTTTGCCTGATTCAGTGTGGGTTCTGTCCACAGATCATAGTTCAAGAACTGTTCTAGTGTGGGCTCTCCATGTGCTTTAGCCCTTCTAGGTATATCCACCTGAACTGGTATGTGGTCTTCTCTGGGTTATGTATGAATATCTCTGGAACGGTTCTTTCCACTGGCTGCAGATAAATATCTTCTCTGACACCTGGAGCATTTTCTCTCCTTGCTTCCTCTCCAATTTAGGTATTCGCACTGCAGTTTCTTAACATTTGATTTTCTCCATCTCAGCCTTAAATCTTTTCCTGGAGGCATAACTAGCTTTGCTTTGACATTCAGCTATGTCCTGCTGTGAGGCTGGTGGAACTAACTGGAACTCACTCTGTCCAGTATGGGTCTCTTTTCTGAGGTCACCCCTGCCACCACACCTTGCCACCCTTGCCCAATAATCTTCTGTTGTATTGCTTTATTGGAGAGCAAAGGCATATACACATTTCTGTATTTCTGTATGGGTCATCAGTGGCTTGCAGATCTTTCTGGAGCAGATAGAATAGACATTCAAGTGTTCTACCAGACATTGCTTGGGACAAGGGGAAGAAGCCTAAGTACGCAGTGCCATATAAAAAACTGTATTAGAAGAAGTTTTGCAGTTTTCTGAGGGTGCATTGTAGTTGTATGAAAGTGAAGGATATAATTTATTCGTTCAATAGTGGATGGCCGAGTGATTTCATTAACTCATTCCTTGTTGAAAAGAAACAAGGATACTGTTTGCTGTATGAATTTTGTTTTCATACTAAAGTGATTTGCAGGTTACTTAGTTGAGATTGTTGGTAGTTGACTTAACATGCTTTCCTTCTTGTAACAGATTATGGTTATGACAGATGGCACATCGTTCTCTTCAGGGCAGAGCCTGCATCTCCCCAACCTTCCTAGTAACTCCCTATCTTTTTCTGAAGTGAAGAAGAAATCATCTCATGGGCCAAAGGTGAGATTTAATTGGATAGAAAATATTTGAGCCAATAAGGCTTTTCCTGGGAAATAACATGAGAAGAAAGATGTCTCTAGGTATTTTTTAGATCGTGACATAATCCAGTGATATCAATAGGTAAGAACATTTATTTAGTGTAAACTTACTGTTAGCTGCATCAAAATAATGCAGACCAGGGATGTAAGTGAGAATTGGTGCTAGGGGAAGTATTGCTTTATTAGATTTTGAACAACCACAGGTATTTTCCTCTTTTCCCAGATGGAATACTAATTGTCTGTTGTAGTATTAGGAGATTCAGGGATGGAAATGGGATTTCTGTTTTTAATTACTAGCCTGAGAAACAAGGAAGTGCTTCACATTCATATGTTCAGATGTCACCAGAATCTTGTTTATTGTTTAGAAATATAGTGACTTGTGTTTACAACTTTGTGTTTCAAAGTAGTTTATCTTTCATTAGTATGGGATATTGGCAGATGTTAGTATTTGTATTTGTAGCAGATATTAGTATTTGTATTAATGTATATGTATATGGAAATTTCAAAATTGACTTGTTGCTAGAAGTAGCTTGGCACTGTAAGCTTGCCAAAGAGTCTTTGTTTCGGCTTGCTAATCATAGACCCATTCTGTTTATTTGTGATAAAAAATTTCCGTTATACTGCAGAAGTTTTTCCTCAAACTATTTTGCAATTATTTCATTTTCAGTTTTTTAAATTAGTTTTTTCTCCCAACGTTTAAAATAGGTCTACAGGAGGAAAAAAAAAAAAATAGTGTTTCCATTCACTCTTATTTTCCCCACCAAGTTTGTGTTGCAGGTTACTGGTAGAACATTTTTTACTTTCTGGAACTAGGGATGGGCTCTCCAGACATTTAGCAAGCATTAGAGGTGCTTCTAGAATTAATCCATAATGCACTGTACTTTACTTTTGAGACAATCCTCTTCTTGTCCGCATCTCTTCAGTCAGTTAGGGATGATTATTTTGTTGAAATTTGCAGGGTCAGTTGACGTTTCTGTCCAACGTTTAAGTTTTCTCTTTTTTTCTGTCTTGTAGGACCTCTGAGTTGTCACCCTCTCAGAGATCCATCTCACTGTATAACTACAGAATTGAAAAAAATGCAATGAAATGCTCAATATAAACAATAGTAAATGCGAAGAAGGAAAACCTTCTTAGTAGAGGCTTTCTGTTAAACAGCGTTTACTACTGAGATGTTGCATGTCAAATCATGTCTGACATACCCAGGCTGGATCCACAGTTTCCATTCCGTATAAAGGATAGGCTCTAGCTAAAGTTGAAGAGGGGATCACGGTATGGCACTCAAGCTCTGCCTGAAATATCAGTAGGACGACGTGTTTTACACTGGCCCTGAAGTAATTCTGTTACCAGTATATGATTGATATGATGATCTTTTGTTGTGATTTTTTTTCCTGAAATTTAATGATCATAGTTTAGGAAATGTGAACTAATCTTTATGCTCACCTTAAAATGTTTCTTGAGGGCCATATCTGATTCTTAAGCAATAAAAACTAACCTTTGTCTTGCAAATGACAAAAGGCAGTAATAACTGCTCATGCTTCACAGCTTTGTAATAGTTTCTCTATCAATTCTTATATGGTCATTTACTGTTTCTTTTTTTCACCCTGCAGTTTAAAGTTTCTGACATGAATCTTGTGTCTGCGTTGTTTATTTCTTTTTTTATCTTAAGTTTTACATCTCATTTTTGCAGGACCCTACTAAGATTCTGAACATAAATAGCAGTAGTGGCAGTAGTAACAGTTTTTCAAAGCCCCACAAGTTAACAAAGGAGCACAAGGAAAAAACTTCTAAAGACTCAAAAGAACAAAAAAGTGCCTTCAAAGAACCTTCCAGGGAACACAATAAATCTTCCAAAGAATCCTCTAAGAAACCCAAAGAAAATAAACCACTAAAAGATGAAAAAATGGTTCCTAAGATGGCCTTCAAGGAACCTAAATCCATGTCCAAGGAGCCAAAATCTGAAAACACCCCCATCCTTACCATCACAGGTGGACAGCAAGAAAAGAAGACTCCTACAAAAAGGCCCTCCATTCTGGATTCTGATGAACCTTCTACAAAAAAGAGAAAAAAAAGTGTGCCAGAGTCATTATTTAAAAGCTTTTCTAATGCTCCATCACTAATTCTTACTTGTTCAGCTGACAAAAAGCAAACAAAGGACAAGTCTCAGCTTAAGATGGGGAGAGTCAAAATTGAAAGTGATACACTGGAAAAGAAGACATCTACTCTGCCACCATTTGATGATATTATAGACCCCAATGATTCTGACATGGAGGAAAACATGTCTTCTAAATCTGAAGTAAGAGCTGTTTTGTTTCTTTTTGTATGTATAAAGCATTTCTAGTCTGCAGGATTGTGTGCCATATTTGTATTTCAGCTGAAGGGTGTTGACTACTGGCTGTGAAAACTTATACATATTGTGTTCGAATTGTGTTTCCTAATCAAGTGTATGTAATTTATAAATGTCAGCATTATGACCAATGACCAAAGGGGAGATGGTTATAAGTAGTGTTCTTTTGATCTTGTTCTTTTTTAATTTCATGGTTTTTTTTTTTTTTTTTTTTTTTTTTTTTTTTTTTTTTTTTTTTTAAGATCGAAGGGAGTTGGTTTGAATACTTATATCTCACATGCTAAGGTTTTTATGGTCAGACACTAGATAATTCAGTGAATTTGGGAAAAGACTGAAGTAATATTGTATTGTTTGTTATTTTTCTGCTAAAACGGGCAGTTCTGTAAATGATGCCAGCTTACTGGACAAAGAGTTCCTTGAAAGGGGGGAATCTATCCAAAGTTAATAGACTCAATAGACTCAACAAGAAAGTTTTTTTTAATGGAGGTTTGCTTTCCTGAAAATATTTCTTCCATGCCTGCTCATCTGTTTCAAGCACAGTATTCTTTTGATGATTAGGATTTAAATCATTCTCCTGGCAGGGTTCAGCTTTAGGAGCATCTTTTATCGATACATGAGTAGAGACGGAAGAGAATAGGAAGAGAAGACCTGTTTGGTGTCTTCATTTGTACTTAAGGCTTGAGGCAGTAAGCAGGATGGAGAGAAAATCTGACTAGTTTAGCTTATTCAACAGCTCTTTGATTTTTATTATATTTTCTGCCTCCACTACTGCCTTCAGATTCATAGCTGTGCTTGCACTCTCTGGAACTACATCTGTGAGGATGTAGCAATGGTTAGGTTCTTCATAGAAACATGTAGCCGGGAAAGATCTCACGTCTGTTGAGTTTCTAAATGGGCATTTTAATGCATGAAGAGTTAAATCATGCAAAGGCTATACAGTTTGGAAGGTGTGTAAAATGATAGGCCCCTCTCTACAGCACTGTTGAAGTTGTTTTTGTGATCTTCCCTTTAAACCTGAAAACGTTCATACTTAACAGCCTTAGCGTAAATAATATTTAAATGTCTTTAAAATAGAATATTTAGCTTTTTATGAGTCATGGCAATATCCTATGACTCACTACCTACTCTTGATGTAGCCAGCCAATCAGAATCGAGTTTGATTTTACATTTCTTATTTACTCAGGTACATAAGACCTTCACATTCTACATAAGACCTTCAATATTCTTCACACAGGAAGGAATTAAGAAAAGCAACTGCAGTATAACTGGAATCGTACACATGCAGATGTTGCAGATGTGTGTGCTGAATAGCAGCTTGCAGATGATTTAATTGTTAATGTGTGTTGCCATCTTTGTATTGCAACCTCCTGCCTTTTATCAATGTTATAACGTTCACACTCTTGTCTTTTTCATAGATTACACAAATCCTCTTGTCCTGCTGTTTGTCATCCAACTGGAATGCTGCCACTGCAGGACATGAGCGGTGCCTTAATTCTGTACTAAAGCAGATTTTGAGTTTTCTAGTTTTTCACACCTCTTTTATTGAAAAAGTAAAGTACTAAATTCCACTCAGAGAGAAGAATCTACAGATATGGGCTCTGGTTTATATTAATATTGACATCCTGAATCATGGAACAGTTGGCTCTTCACTGGGAGGGCAAGTATGGTCCATGTCACTGTATGGGTGAAAACAGCTTTGGGAACATGCTTACCAAAAAATCAAGATGACTATGGCTCTGGTCAGTGATTAGATAATATTTAGAATACCAGTAATATATTTATTTATAGGAAATATATCTAAAAATCCTGGCAAAGTACCTGAAGGTACCTGTGGATTCACACTTTTATGGGAGAGCTGGGAAGTGTGGTTAACTAATATCCACAGAATTTCATGAAGTCCTTCTACGTTTTGTTAGTTTTAACCAAGGAGCACCATAAGAGGCATTTGAGCAATGTTATAATGTAATAGAGGTAATTACGTGATGGGAAAATATGATTGTGTTGGTGGGTTTCTAAGTATTTCAGAGAAAAAAAAAATACAGCTAACTCAACAAATGATACATGCTATAAACAAGGTAATATGGAAAAAAGATTGAAAAGTTGCAATGTTTATTAGAGAGTTTTACTATGTCAGTAGTTACGGTCTGTTTGTGCATTGTGATATTAACCATTTTAGTTGCCCGGAGCTGGGATGATGTTTCTTCAGTGGCAGGCTCTGACATAATAGCATGTTATAAAATTCATTCCAATCTTATTTACTTACCTGATGTAATCACAAGACCTCTCAGTTTTTCTGCTGTGACCTTGGGAATATGAAGAGTACCCATTTGACTGGGAGCTGTCAGATATTGTCCTTGTTTTCAAGAAAGCAGACCCTGATACCTACATCAGTCTCACTTCAGTGCCTGATAAAATTTGGAGGTCATTATGTGAGTTGCTGAAAAACACCTAAAAGACTATGCAATTATTGTTCATAAACAACGCAGGTTCTTGAGGGGAAAGTCTTTTTTTATGTAGTTAATTACATAGAAAGTTAATTACTTTCTATGATGAGATTACCCACATAGTTGACCAAGATAAGGCAGTTGATATAATCTTTTTGAATTTCAGCAAAGCTGTTTCTCACAGTATCCTTCTGGACAAAAGATCCAGTGTAGCAAGTACATACTAAAACAGGCTAACAGTTGAATGATGGATTGGACTCAGAGGTTATAATAAATGGAGTAACATCTGACTGGTGAGCAGTAAATAGAAAGGTTCTGCAGGGCTCTTATTTTTTTTGTCCAGTCCTCTTTAATGTTTTTATCTCGATTCAGGACTCAAACACGTAGTAAGTAAGCTTGCAGAGGACACCAAATTATGGGTAATTGTGAACTTCATCAGGTGTGGGAAGGCCTGGCAGAGAGAACTTGACAACTGGAAGACTAGGTGATCGCCAAGCACATGAAATTTAGTAAAAGTACCATATCCAGGGGTGTATCAAACACAGCACTGCTAGACATTTAAGAGAAGGGATTGTTCTGCTCTGCTCTGCAGTGGGGTAGCCTCACCTCCAGCACTGTGCACAGTTCTAGGCACCACATTATAAGACATAAAACTAGTAGCATCCAAAGAAGACATACGAAGATGGTGGAAGGACTAGAGGGCAAGACTTACGAGGAGCAGCTGAGGTTCTTATGTGTGCTCAGCCCAGAGCAGGGCAGGCTGAGGGAAGGCCTTGTGGCAGCTGCAGCTTCGCATAGGGGGAGTGTAGGGGCAGTTCTGAACTTTGCTCTCTGGTGACAGTAGCATGATGTGAAGGACTGGCATGGAGCTGTTTATTCCCTGTAAATACTGGAAGACTGCAGCGAGGTCTCCCTGTGGCTTCCTCTTTCCTGGGCTGAACAAGCACCTTAGGGCCAAGTTCCTTAAGCCTGTGTTCACAGGAGAGGTGCTCCAGCCCAAGGATCATCTTTGTGGCCCTCCTCTTGACCCTCTCCACCAGCTCCACATTTTTCCTGACTTGGACAGTGAGTGAAAACATGGAGGATTTATAGTTTTATTGAGGTGCAGGAATATTAGCTCGGGTAGGAAGCTCTAAAGATCAT